AAGCAAAAGATTTATGCTGACGTAGGTCACTGTAACACGGATCCTACTTTTTATTACTTTGAAATTTGAATTGTGAGTGTATTTATGATTTTAACTGTGTGAAAAGGGCAAAAAAGATAAAATAAAATAGTTTAAAAGGACGTGAGCATGACGTTGACTACACCCTAAAACATATATACCACTAGACTAATTGTTCTTTGTACAAAGGCATCTATTGTTGCCCTATATATCTATAGAAGCTTGTCTTTGACTTGTGGGCTAATGTGTACACTCCATAATTGTGATTTGTACCTAATTGAAATACCTCTAAAGATTGTGAACTTTTTAACATTTATTTGTGTGTAGACATCAATTTTTGTACCAAATTGAAGTACCTCTAAAGATAGTGAACTTTTTTAACATTTATTTGTGTATATAATAAAACGTAAGATTGTAATTTTAGCTATTAATATGAATATATTTGATAAAGACGGTAAAGCTTGTTGGAAAAAATGTACAAAATGTTCATTTGATCTATAATGACATTACTCATTATGTAACGAATCATGTAACTGACTTGGTAATTCGAATATAAGTCCAAGTAAAGACGGTAAAGCTTGTTGAGTGACGAAACAAGAAAACTGATATTTGGGTTATAACGATTGCATCACAACATTATGTAACAATAGAAGTTGTTGGTGGCAGGTTTTAGGGAGATAAAACTCGATTTAGGTTTAGTTTTATTTTATTGTTGATATTTATTTATTTATTTATTTTATTTATTTTTGTGTGTGTTTTAGCGTTTATTATGATTTTGGCTTTGTTTTATGTTGGAGTTTTAGGTGGCATTTGTAATTTTCGGACAATATCCTTAAAGCTCGACTTTACTCTTTAATGTTCAGATTCAATTTGTTAATATTTATTGATACACAAGTTGTAGCAGGGCTCAATCACTAGTTTATTTAATTAAAATGTCGAGTGAGTTCAGAAGCTGGAATTAATTTGGGGAGACAATTTAAAATCCAATAGTGACTAGTGATTGTTGGGAAAGCTTTATTTCAAAATTTCCAATCAATCATTTCGTGTGTTAAATAAAACATGGAAAGATGTGATGCAACTATAGAAATTAACTATTTGGCGGATAGAGTGTGGGCGTGGCCAAACTCTCATCCTTTACATTATTTTATCTTAATCTCTCTCACGTGCATATTAAATTGAAAGTGTTTTTATTTATTTATTTTTTATTTATAAGAAATAAGTGTTAGTGAAATGGTTATGGTGTGATTGGATATAAACTCAATCAATCAAAATTAAAATTTAACTCAATTTTAATTCAATCTCACTATCATTCATATTATAAATATAAATAAATAATATCAATCAATCATTCTTACACATCACATCAACTTTAATTCACTATTCATTCACTCACTTAATTTTAACTAATTATTACTTCCAATAATTTTTCTCCAACTTTTACATCAAATCAATTTTATTTATATTATTTTAATTTATTCACTTACAACTAACCATACAACTTTATTTAAAATTAACTATGGTTAAAAAAAAAGTCAATAAAAAACTAGTTCAATCCGTATATCCAATCACACCCTTATAGTTTTAATGTTTTATTAATTTTAAGTTAGACAAACATGACAAATAGATAATCATACTTTTTTTAATATTATGCTATTTCAAAACTGAAATATTATACTCTAAAATGCAATATAAACAAGAATGAGACATTGCATGTCATAAGTATGCATTTTTTAATAAAAAGTGCAACAGGTGTGACTCGCTTAAGAGTTAATCAATGAATGTATTACTTTTCGTGGAGGATTAGATCCAGTAACTGGGGGTATATGGTTGATCGATATCACAAGATTTTGTGTAAAAATTATAAATCAAATCTATAATATAAACGTACAAAAGTGTGTAAGTAAAACCATAAATAAGCCAAGTGAAAGCTCGGTTCTCTAACAAACCAAGCTAATAAGCAAGTTGGAATTCGGCTCTTTCTTATAATGACAAACTAAACTTTAGCCTCAACGTGCAATTAACCTTTATGAGTCATGTAAATTATGTGAAACTTTTTTCCAGGTCTGACGAGTTGAGTTGAACTTGTTGGTCGACTAATTATCTATAAGAACTTTCAATTAGTTCGAGCTTAACTTAGTTATCAAACGAGTTGTGCCAATTTCAAATTTTATCGAATTGATCTAATCACGAGTAGTTCATTTGTATAACAACTATAATCGTAAGCAATATCGTTGTCAAGCTCGTATTTTTTTTATTACACAATGTATGCATGACTAGGTAACGACTAATTCATCGTTAAAGATGATTGTAACAGAGTAATGAAAGATCTAACCGTTTAATCAATACACACTCACGTTGAAATACATGTAGTCACACTCACAATACTGTATCACCTATAAAGACCATCCATATTATACTTAAAGCAGTAAAAGTCTTTAAGCGTATAAAGAAAAGCCTCGACACATACATACATTAAAGTTACACACACATGCAAGATAAATACGTACATACAAAAAACATACTTACATTCAACTTCTTCTTTACGCACAGAATACACTGCTAAATCCTGAAAAATCAAACAATATTCTACCATCGTATCACATACACTATTTAGAAAATTTCGTACATATCGATAAGAGTCGTGCGTTCGTCACGCTTTTATAACTCATTCACACACGCACTGAAGCACAAACTAATAGAATCAAATTTGTCTGAGTTAGTACCCTGATGAGGTATTTTAAAATCAGATCGCGCGTTATTGTACAAACGGGTAGAATCTCGAGTTTTTACAATCATGTCACATATACAGACACCGATAAAATTGAATCTGTCGAGACAATACTTCGATCAAATTTTTAATTTTTATTTTTTACAATTAGACACCGGTAAGATCGAATTTGTTCCAAAAAAACAAGGTGGGATCGGGTGGAGGCCTCTACCCCCACCCTCCCCACACACACACACACAATAAAAAAAAAAAGAAATTAAAAAAAGAAAAAAGAAAAAGAAAAAGTAAGAGAAGTACTTCATACGAATACAATACGCCACACACTCACTCATCACATAAAACTTCCATTTCCATACTTAGCTACTGCTGCAACTCTTCCCATCATCACCCAATTCTTCTTTCACTGTTTGCCCTCTTTTTGAGTTTTTCTCCTACCTTAATTTCTTTCTCCCCCAAACCAATTTTTTTTTTCTCTCTCTTCACGCAACACACGCCACATACACACACATACACACGCACTACAATATACACAGATTATTCCCTGCCCGGCTCAGTATAGCAGCAGCTGCTTTACTCCCATGGCCGAGGGATTTGAACCGTACCACGTCCCGNTGAAGTTTCAATTTGAAAATTATGCATATTTGTCGAAAAGTATGTTATGGGGACACATTTTTCATTAGTAATGTAATTTCTTCTAGTTTGAAACTTTGAATGGTAAGGAATATATGTGCAATAGGATTGGTTCATATTGTGTGGTAACATATAAGTGAGGAGTTCTGAGTTTGATTAGTTTGCATCTTGCGTAAAGTTATATATATTTTGGGAGAATCTGTTGAAAAGGTTTATTCTGCAGAAAATGTGTGCAGCTTGAATTTGATCAGAGCCTATTATATATGCCTGCCAAAAAATATACTAAAGATGGTACTTAATTATTGGGTTTTCATGTTCTTTTTCCCCTTTCAAGTGGGAGAATGTGATTCTTTGTGTTCCCACTTACTAAACGTTGTTAATATTTCATGGTTGTGGTTAATGAGCCCCTCAGTAAGCATGTTTAGCAACAGTTATGCAAATTTTCAGCAATTTTTTTTTTGCATCTAATTTGATTATTTAGAGAGCTAGCAATTGGAGCTATTGAATTAATTTGTGGCATGTGACTATAATTTCATATCTCATATCTTCCCTAAAGCAAATGGTAGATTACATATGTGATATGACTTCATTTTATTTTTCTACTAATGCATCACTCTTTAATGTTACATTGTGCAACGTATTCTCTCTAAAAGCTTATCATCAAAATATCCAAAACACAATTCTCTTTATAATCTACTTTTCACCTTTCATTTAAAACCCCATTTCCCTGGTTTTTGCATATGCTCTATTGTCATGAACCTGTCATAAATGCTACTAACAACTCTAATACGCATTTCATAATTATGGTAGTTCAATGTTTGTTGGTACTAAGATGTTCGTACCTGAAGGTAGCTAGGTTTTTTATGCATACTATAGTGATATTTGATATTTTTACATTTTAGTTGCCTATCATTTAATGGACTTGTCTAGTTGTCTTGTATGGATGCTGAATGTACTCTCAACGATAATATACACTCTTTGACTTCATTCCAAATCTCTTGGGTTCGAAACTATTCGAACATTTAGAATTTTGAGGCATCTTTCTCGATAATTTCTTGTCAAATTAAACACTATTGAACACACTTCCTTCGGTAGGTTTACGCATGTAGATTAAGTAAATTTCGAGCTTATGACTTATGGCTGAAAAACTAGCTTATATGATGAAAGCGTTTGGTAAAATTAGCTGAAATAAAAAATTCAATTGGCTTATTTGAAAAAATATCTAAGGAAGCTTACAAGATAAACTCGAACATTTTACAAAAATTCGTCCTACGAAACTAAAAGCTTATATGAATACAAAAATCTTATAAGCTAACCATATAAGCTATAAGCTAGCTTATATGCTTACCAAACACAGTCTATGGAATTGGACAACTATTGTTCTCAAGAATTTAGATTCTATAGGAAGTATTTTATTTATTTATTTATTTATTTTTATTTTTTTTAACTCAAGTGATTCACAAGGTTTAGTCAATGTTTGTGATCCTTAATTCACTAGTTTAACTTTGCAACAAGATTTTCTTTTTCCCAGTTGGGTAGATTGGTAAACTTATCTCTTTCCTTATATATTTTCTTTTTTCTTTTTTTTAAGGTTTACAAGAGGTACAAGCAATATTACCAACAAATGCAGGCAGCAATTGCTGCATTCGAGTCGGTTGCCGGTTTAAGCAATGCAGCACCTTTTGCTAACCTAGCCTTAAAGTCAATGTCCAAACACTTCAAATGTCTAAAAACTGCCATAACAGATCAACTGCAGTTCGCGTCAAAATCTCACGGGAAAACAAATTTCGACAGAAATGAAACTCAGAGGCTCGAAAATTCCGGAAAGGTCTCTTACGGCCAGCAGAGGTCGTTTGGTTCCGGATTTATGGACCCGCCCATGTGGCGCCCACAGAGAGGCCTTCCAGAACACGCTGTCACAGTCCTTCGTTCTTGGTTGTTCGAACATTTTTTACATCCGTATGTATTTATTATTATTACTTTTAATTTATTGCATCGATCATTTTTAAATATGTTCACTTATTGTTGTGTGGTATTAACTGATGAGGTGGCTGACTGATTAATGCAGATACCCGACAGATACCGACAAGGTTATGCTGGCGAAACAGACGGGCCTCTCTAGGAACCAGGTAAAATCGGGAAGATATGGAACAATTAAAATTCTACGTTCGACATAATAATAATAATAAATAAGTTCCAACCCACACAACTACATGAATAATTATGCCCAATTTCATACAATATGCTCGAATGGGATACATGCGATTTCGAAAGATAAAATATGGGATGGTTTTTAGTAAATTTGGGAAGCTAGCTGATATTTAGTGTTTCTATGTATAAACATCCGTTTTTCGACTGGTTTTTTTGTTCGTGATATTTCTGTAAACACCAACTGAAAATGATTTTTTTTTTCCCAATTCTTGGAATAAGTCGAACAATTGGAGAGTACTTTACGGCTATGTTTGGTAAAACTAGCTGATAAGCTAGCTTATAGCTTATATGTGATTTTTGAGCTAATACCTTATGATTTACTGCTGAAAAGCTAGTTTATATGATAAAATGTTTGGTAAATTAGTTGATAAGCTAGTTGAAATAAAAATTTCAACGAGCTTATTTAAAAAGCTACGCGAAGAAGCTTATGAGATAAGCTCGAGCTTTTTTAAAAAAGCTCGTCCTACCAAATGAAGCTTATAAGCTAACCAAATAAGGTATAAGCTAATTTATTTGGTTACCAATATAGCCTACGTATATTCAACAATGCTTTTGTTTTTTCGAGTCATAATCCTGAGAGACTTGCGTGCATGTGTTATTTACAAAATTAAACCAGGTTTCGAATTGGTTCATAAATGCAAGAGTGCGGCTATGGAAGCCGATGGTTGAGGAGATACACACGCTCGAGACACGTCAGCAAGGCCAAAACTCCTCCGAACAATCTCCCAACAACAGCAGCAATCGACCAGTCGAACACGAGAACCAATCCAAACGCACCCGAGAAGACATAACCGAGGCCCAACGACCGAACCACGGCTCGATAAAATCGCCTTACGACAATATATTGCCTAATAATAATAATAGCAATAATCATCATCAGTTGCATGTTGCCATGGGCAGTTCAGGAGGGAACAGTGGGGTTTCCCTGACTTTGGGCCTTCACCAAAATGGGCCGGGCCTGCTGGACTCGTACGCGATCCATGCAGCCCGTCGGTTGGGGCTCGAGTCGCAGCCCGGTGAGGAGTATGTGGTGAGTGGGTTCACGGCCCATGATTCGAGGTTTAGAAGGGAGGTCATGGACGGGCAACAGATTATGCATGATTTTGTTGGCTGAAATGTTGGAAATAATATATATTTTTTATTTAACGTGGGTTTTTATTTTATGTATACTTAAGGGGGAAGCTTGGATTGGATATTGGTACAAGAGTTAATTGTAATTTTTATGTATATTTTGTTGGGTGAAGGAAAATGATATTTCTTGGTGCTTCTAGGTTTAATGTTTTAAGAGCAATCATGTTTAAGAGATGAAATAATAATAATAATAATAATAATAATAATAATAATAATAATAATAATAATAATAATAATAATTCTGAAGTTCCGAATTGAACTTCTTGCCACATGGGAATTTCTTGTTAGTGGGATTTTTTAGTTTGGGTTTTGGTTCAATTATTTTTATACATTGCTTTTCACTATTATTTTTTATAAGTTAGATTTTTTATTTATTTTTTGTTCGATTCTATGTTACAGTTATTTTTTTGTTCGATTCCATTCGATTATTTTTTTATATTTTGTTTTTTTGTCTTTTTACAGTTGGGTTAGGTTTTTCATCGAATCGTAGTATCGTCGCTCCTCTAACAGTAACTTTGTTATTGGGTAGTATAATTGTAAGACAGTCATAATTTTTGAACATATATACATACTTTCAAATTGAAATATTAGACTAACTCATATAATAATTTGTGACGTCAATTTTCTAATATTTAAATAATTTGTTTTTTCTTTGAGTCACGAACACGAAGGCAACAAAGGCTAGCCATTATTGAATGTTCTTTGATTTTGACCCTAAGATAATTTATATAAAGACTTTCATTAGTTGGTGAAGAGATGTGATCTGTGAGAAATTCACGAAGTGGATTGCTCTTTAATTAAACGGATACTGGGCTTTATTTTCTCATTCTTTCTTAGGATTTTGAGTCTATAATGAAGTAAGATCCGTAATACTATGCTTGGGCTTTTCACTTCAAACACTGGACGTAAATGAGTTAAGAACGGGTTTGGGGAAATGTAAACCCGACCCATATACATTGCACCATATTCAAATCCAACCCGTTACTTAATTTTGGTTCGAGTTTTATCTATCGAGTAATTACAAATTAGGCACGTATTGGGTAAGCGGGTATTTATCAAATGTGTTTTTACACAATTTGACTGAATATAGGCTTGTAAACGAGTCGAGCGAACTGGAGCACTTTGAGCACGAGCCCTTAACAAGTCGTTAAATAAACGTGCTAAAAATCGAGCTCGAGTTTGGCTCGCTTATCAATATTAACGAGCCGATAGCTTTAACGATGCGAATTATATATAGAAAATTTATAAAAATTATCTTTTCGAGCCTTATCAATAAGTTGAGCTAGCTCGACTAGTTAACGAAATGAACTTTACACGAGCTCGAGCTCGAGCTCGGCTAGTTTATCACATGAGCCGAGCCGAACTCGACCCTCAACGAGCCGAGTGACCCAATTTCAAGAGTGACTCATTTCGTTTAACAACTCTAGTCGGATCCAACCCGAACCATATTATGTTACTAGAAATTGCAATATTGAATTAAACAATGACATTTTCCAGCAAAATAGTATCACAACGTATTAGATTCTAAGTACGGTCAATCTCATGTATATAATTTTAATTAACTAGAAATAGCAATATTGAATTCAAAGATATATTACTTTAGATCTTCCAATATGGCTCATAGAATCATAAATTAACTTAATAGTTTTTCGCTATCGTATGTCTTGTTTTATGTTCGCTGTTTTTTCATATATATATTTTTTTATTAAACTATGCCGTCTTAGTTTTTTATTTTTACTTGGTTATATAACTATAAAATTATTAATATACTTCGTATGCTGCCTGAAAACTGCCAGCATAATGTTTAGATGTCAAAATGGTTAATAATTTTATGAATATAAGCTTTTAAATACATGCATGGAGACAATTTCTGACCCAATTTCATATTAAATAAATAACACTATGTTTTATTTATTTATTTATCTTATTTTTCATAATTCACTACAAGCTGTCGCAAAAACGCATTTTATTGTATCATGATTAATAATGCTGCTTATAATTTACTAATCAACGTACATTAAAGTCAACTTATTCCACCAAATGTTGCATGCATAAGGAAATTTCGTTTGTCTTATAATCGCACGACAAATTGTCACTCATTTTTGTGTTCAATAATTGTGTGCCTATATATAAGAAAGACTGTTTTCTTATCGCAAATTATCTGTTTATATATATATATATTAAGAAATGTATTTGCATGAAATTTTTATTTCCATATTTTATTAGTAAACTTCTATACACTATTTGATATATATGACTAAATATGAAAATTGATTGATATACTAATTTGTTAAGTTGAAATATTCGTTGAATTTTTTTTATACTGTATCATAATATAAATACGAGGAAACAAATTAGCTCGTCAAATTTATAATAATTTTATAATTTTTATAACTCGTCCAATTATTAGCTAGTTTCTTCATGAATATGGTAATTTGATATGATGATTAACAAATGAGTTAATTAAATTCTATTGGGATCTAAATGTGGTTTGCTGTAAGGACAGCTGTTTGGCGGTGGTGAGTACGACTTTCAAAATTCTAATGTGTGTACCTCAAGAGAAAATTGCTGTTATATTGACCCAAAAAATTTATTTACGTACTAATTAATCAAACTATGTTGTCTTGATTTTATTATTATCTACTTGGTTATTGATAATATATGTTTTTAATCACTCATCAATTACTTTTGACAAAAGATAATTTCACAATGAAATATTATACTCGCTAACAAACAACATAAACAGAAGTATTTATTTTATAACATTAATTTACATTTTATGTTATTTAAAGTATAATGGATGGACCCGATTAGATTAACTCTTAAAATTGTTAAAGAAAACAAGTAACTCGTGAATTTGGCTCATATATCTCGCCTCGTTAAAACTTGAAAATAGAAATTTTTTATGTATTTTCTATAACTCGAAACGTTCATACTCAAAATCAATTATCATAAACTCTTGAACTTGACTCGAAGCTCACAAAACATATTTGTGTTTTATAATTTCCTTAATTAGGTATTGCTAATGTACGATTTAATTAATGAGTTCACGTGAACACTCGTTGGTTTTCGTAGGAAAGCCAGTAACGCAATAATTGACTTTGTCTAAGGGTTCAATTTTTGCTCTAAACAAATTCACAAATTCCGACAAAATGTACTTCCTTATTAATTAAACGCATGCACATGCTTGTTAGATCTTGTCGTCCCAATACGTTATGTATATATACAAGAGTCATCAAAGAGAAAATAAACCCAAAAAAATAAAAATTAAAGTAAAAACACACATTCAAGAAATCAAAACATTAGTCTTTCATTGACACAACAATGTCTAGTCCTTTTCTCGTTTGCTGCTTGATAATCACGGGGGCCCATTTGATATTAGCCGATACCAAAGAAAAACAATATGGCTTGGCCCAATCACCTACAATTAGGAAACTCGGGAAACACGAACCAGTCCCAGGCCCGAGTCCTCATGAAGGTGTGAAGAGAGAGGAAAGTGTGGTGGCCGAGCAAGAGGCGGAGTTGGAAAACCACCACGGCCACCATCACCACCGAGCAGATAAATCGATTGCCGGTGGTGGAGTGATAATCGGAGGTTTAGTCACCACTTTTCTTGTAACGGTTTTTTGTTATCTCCGGGCCACCAGAAGGAGAACTGTTGTTGCACCGGCCGGTTCACCTACCGGTACACCTCCTAGGGAAAAGGAGAGTGTTGAATGTGGGCATGTAAGGATTAATACATGAAATTTTATGTTT